CCTGGTGGAATGACCTGCCCAAATCAATCAGAGCAGCCGAGTCCTTACCCATCTTCAAGAAATTATTAAAAACACATCTGTTCCACCTTTATTTGACCCTCTAACTCTAACACTTTCTATTGTATTATAATGCTACTTTATCTATATTTATCTTTTTTTTATTTTTTGTTCTTTATTTAAAAAAACACCTATATATACACCTTGCTACGTGTACTGCGTTAGGCTAACCGAGACTTGTCATTTGCACTTATATATTGTTGCTCTTTTGTTAGTTTTGACTGCTTTTATTGTCCTCATTTGTAAGTCACTTTGGATAAAAGCGTCTGCTAAATGACTAAATGTAAATGTAAATATATTTTAAATAATAATAATAATAAATTAAATTGTAACTTACTATTTTCTAATTTACATATGTAATCTTTGAGCAATTATAAGTTATTGTCAATAGTTACGGTAAATATTTATACTCTCTATATTTAATATTTTATATGATATAATTAATACATTTAAAATTATTATTATTATTGCATTTTTTTATTTGCTTACCTTTTTTTTATTTTATAAGGAATCTTCCAGCTATTGTTATTGTTATATGTTATTGTAAACATGGCCATTAAAAAAATTAAGAAAAATATATGGACCTCTGGGTAGATTTGGTCAATGTTGCAGCAGAGTAGGGTGTGGCCGAGGGGGGCGTGGCACTCTGGCTTTCAGGGTGGAGCTTTCTTCGCACAGGCTTCTGAGGGGCATGGCCTTGGTGTACCACTGTAGACTCCTGGGAAGAGATTTAAATGTTAAAGATAGACTTTGAGAGAATCTCATCAAACATGCCAGTACACTGAAGATGAGCAGAAGATGCTTATGTTGATGATGGGTCTGAGCATCTGTGAGATATGGGCTCCTTTTAAAGGGGCTCAGATGAGGTGTTGGGGTGCTTGTTAATGGGACGGTGTCAACTCTTACCGATTTGGGAGGCGTCAGGTCCTCTGTGCTCAGACCTCTCAAGCTGCTCTCCTGCTGTAAAAGGATGAGGAGTTTGGGATCAGGAGGTCTTCAGGTGTCAGTTTATAGCTTTACAAGAACATTTTTGTTTTACACATGCATGCATCAAGACTTTTAAATTTGCAGTATAAATGATTGAAACTGAATAAAAAAATGGAAATTCTGTCATCAGTTAAACACCCTCAAGTTGTTCCAAGCCTGTATGAATTTCTTTCTTCTGTTGAACAAAGATATTTTGAAGAATGTTGGTAACCAAACAGCTACTAGTCCTCATTGACTTCCATAATATGGAAAAAATACTATGGAAATCAATGGCTACCGGCAACTGTTTGGTTACAAACATTCGTTAAAATATCCTTAGAACAACTTGATGGTGAGTTAACATTAGAATGTTCATTTTTGGGTGAACTAGCCCTTTTAAGTCAAAATTTTCCCGGTCTCTTTCCAAAAGAGTCTCTCACACAGAGGAAGAGGGCAAAGAAAAAGTAGAGATGTAGAAGTAAAGGCCGCATTAAAGGGTTAGTTCACCCAAAAATGAAAATTAGGCTGCATTTTACTCACCCCCGAGGCATCCTAGGTGTATATGACTTTCTTCTTTCAGATGAATCTAGTCGGAGTTATAGTACAAATTGTCTTTGATCTTTCAAGCTGTTTAATGCCACTCAGCGGGTGTTGCATTGCGTCAGTCCAAAAGAACTTAAATAAAAATCACCTATCCATAAAAAAAAGTCTCACACGGCTCCAGGGGGTGAACAAAGGCCTTCTGTAGCGAATCGATGTGTTTTTGTAAGCACATATTCAAAACGTAATAATCACTTTAATGTAGCTTGCGCCAGCAGTTGTACACAGAAGCAGTTCCGGGGGAATGATGTATGAGGTCAGCGTTGCGCATGCGCTGGTGAGTCTCGTGAAAACCAACGTTTGTTAACAGGATCAAAGGAAGCAAAGTTTCCTTACTTTAGCAAAGGAAAACCAGTCTCCTCTTGGCTTATATCGAAATCCTCTGACATTCTCCTTTACAAATCCTCGTTTTGTACTTCTAATTCTTGACCGTTGTTTTGTATTGATCTCCCCGGTGCTGCTTCTGTTTACAACAGTGAGCGCAAGCTAGATTCAAGTGATTATTACGTTTTGAATATGGATATTTTTCTTACAAAAACGCATCGATTCGCTACAGAAGGCCTTTGTTCACCCCCCGGAGCCGTGTGAGACACTTTTTTTTACGGATGGGCGATTTTTATTTAACTTCTTTTGGACTGACGCAATGCAACACCCGTTGAGTGCCATTACACAGATTGAAAGACTTGACTTCATCATAAAAAAAAAATAAAAAAAAAAGTATCTCTCTCTTTATTTATTCCTTCTCTTTCTAGCTTGTACTTATTTGAACAATGTCTAAGAACTTGGTATTACAACCACTTCTTGTGTCTGTTTGCCTCTTTAAGAAAAATCGCTTTATGTATCCCCCAATTGTAAGTCGCTTTGGATAAAAGCGTCTGCTAAATGACTAAATGTAAATGTAAATGAAAGATCAAAGAAAATGTTTAATATAACTCCGACTGGATTCGTCTGAAAGAAGAAAGTCATATACACCTAGGATGCCTCGGGGGTGAGTAAAACGCAGCCTAAATTTCATTTTTGGGTGAACTAACCCTTTAAATTCTTCCCTCGCTCTTTAAAGTGAATTACACAGCTCTCCCTCAATGCTGCGCCGTGTGCGTTCATGGATCACTGAGGGCATACCATCAATCATGACACTCTCAGTAAAGACTCTCTGACTTACAACATCCCACTTACGCTGCTATATTTCACACAAACGTGACTACTGTTCATTTAACCCTGCGTGACTGGAACGGCCATATTTCCACTATCGTACTCTGTCACTGTTGTGTAAACATTCAATCACTTCATAAAACATGCAATGCATTGTTTAAAAAGTGCCTGCCGTCCAGGACTGTGGTCGCTGTGGCACAGGGAATCTGTTCTTTATGGCACAATGAAAAGTAATGGCAGAAACAGGCCGATTGCAAGGCTATAAATTTGTCTGAAAAGTCATAAAGTGGTTTGATTTGCTGCGGCATGCAACAAGTTATTTCGTCCAGCCAGCCGTACCCTCAGGAAAACATGCAAGAGTTATGAGCGTAATACAGCCGTGTGAAAGTAACGGTGCCCATCGCTGCCTATAAAACTCAGAAGGACTATTACACGGCGAAGGAGTATTAAATAAAAACAAGTGCTCCTTCAAACAGGAAAAATGTGACAGAGCCGAAAACCTGCCTAGAATATGCTGTGTGAGAGAAAAATAGAATACAATGAAATTTGATTAGATGGATAGGGTCAAATATTCTAAACTGGTCAGTTAAAAATGTTTAGTCATTTACAACAGCGCCACACTTTGTTTGTATAATGTAATGAGCTGTGAATTCATTTCACATAATAATTTAACAAAAAATACAGAGGAATTAGCATGCAGAAATAATTCTATTTACTAATCTAATGAAGAGAGGACTGCAAAGCACAAAAAAAAAAGAAAAGTAAAAAAGCTTCCTTTTTCCTGCACCTTTATTTTGTACTGGTCTTTATGTTCTTTTATAAATAATCAATTGTTTTTTTTTTATAAAAAAAAATAAAAATTGTAATTAAATTATGTTAAAAAAGACCATTCACAATTCATTCCATTAGATTGTGCTAAGCCAATGACACAATACTTTAAAAAGCATAAAAATATTTAAGCATATAGATAACTGAATGTAAAACCATTTTGAAAAACAACTTCATTATTATTTAGATTTATTTTTTAAATACTTTTTATTCTATATAGTCATTCAATAATATTTTATTGAAAATAAAATTAATAATAAAAATAAAAATAATAAAATATTACTATTACTCTATCACAATCTTAGATTTATTTTAATAACTGCAAAAAAACCGAAGGTAAACAATTTCAAAAAAGTTGAAAAGTCTATATAATTATAATATAATTATGTGTGTATTAATTAGATGGACTTAAAATTAGTTATAATTTAAATGTATTTTTATTTAATCTTTTATTCCATTAAACAAAATGCAATAAATTGTTCCTGGAACAACATTTCTGTCAAACCAGCACAGTCCTTAACCTAACCATAACCCTAACTACCACCTCTGAGACTGGACAGAAATAATGATAGCCTGATGTCACTCAAACTTTTTACTAACCCTAACTCTAAAATCTGATTGGTTGATGGGAATATTACTACAGAAATACTGATTCAGGAACACCTAGACCCTACTTGGGTAAATCACAGTAATACAACCAGTACACCCTATTATAAATTAATTAATTATTATAAAGTGTTTCTGTAATAACAGGCACTGAAACAAATCATGACTGTCCCCGTAATATCACATCATAATACTGAATACTGCATAAATATGCTCTCTCTCTCTCTGATCCGTCAGCACTCAGGAGAGATGATGATGATGATGTGATTCAAGGTCAAACGTGAATCTCTTGGTTCCTGCTCAGAAACATCTCAGCTCAGTTTAATTAAGAATGAGCTCTTTCCCCTGAAGGAATGTAAACGAGTGGAAAGTAAGTGATGAAGGATGTTTTCTGAGACATGTGCCCTGAGATCTGGATGAAACTCAGTAATGAACACCTCAGGGCTGCTGTGTTGTCTTTAGTTAACAAATATGATATGAATACGAACCCAGATATAATTAATCACAGACTGTCAGGTCTAGTCCCAAAATGAGATCTTGATGGTTGGTCAAGTCATGCAGGTAGATGCCAGCAAGACAATAATCTTTGTCAGAACTTGCCACTTACAGTGGGGCAAAAAAGTATTTAGTCAGCCACCAATTGAAAACCTGTCTCAGCAAAGCACAGATGCTGGATTTATGGCAACCGTGACAAAGCATGATAAATAACGTCCAAGAAATAGTGCTCAATAAGCCAAATGCACAGTAGACATGATTCAGAATTGATTCCAATAAAGTTTGCTAATGCAAAAATGCCAAAAGCATAAAAATACAAAACATACAGAAAATTGAAGGTAAAACTATTTCAAAACAAGTTTTTGATGTATTCTGATTTATTTTCATTTTATATTTATATTACTTTTTATTTAATATAATATAAATATTATATTAATTATATTTCATATATATAATAACAAAATTATAATATTGCTATTATAATGTAATAAATGAAAATAATAATTTTACTATTATTCTCTCAGTCGTAGATTTATTTTAATAACTGCAATAAAATACAAAAAAATTAAAGATTAAACTATTTCAAAGACTTTCAAAAGTCCATTATTATTTAGATCATTTTTTTTATATACATTTTAATAAAACAAAAGTAATTTAATGTAAAAACAAAATAAAATAATTCCTATTTATTACTATTATCTCATAATCTTGGATTATCTTAGAGTATAAAAAGCATAAAAAAATTGAAGGTAAAATAATTTATATATATATATATATATATAATTTTATAA